CGAATATACCTTGATGTATAATAAACTATACTATATATATAGTATAGTGTATTATATAATACATTTAGTATATATAATACACTTAGTATATATATACTATACTATAATATGCACTAAGTATTAGTGCATTAGCTAATATTATATCGAATATAGTTTATATATATATATATATATACACACACATATATTAATTGATATAAGTTGAGATGTTTTAATTCATTGTTAATATATATATATACAAAAGTGATTTTTAATTTTGACCATTGTTGACCTGAAAAGAGACCAACTTTGGTCGCTAAATATACATAAATTTAAATTAGCGACCAAAGTTGGTCGCTAAATTTAAATCAGATTTATTTATATTTTATATAATATTTAAAATAATAATATAATTGTTAAACATTAGAACTGGGTCCCAAATTAGGGACCAAAGTTGGTCTCTATTTTTTTAAGCGACCAACTTTGGTCGCTAAATTTGAATTATATTTTTTTATATTTTCATAATTTTTTAAATTAAAATATAATTATTAAAAGTTTATAACTGGGTCCCGTTTTTGGCGACCAAAGTTGGTCGCTATCTGTTTACCCCTTATTGGCAACCAACTTTGGTCGTTAATTTTAAATTATATTTTATAATTTTTTTAAAATAATATTATAATTATTATAATTTTATAAGTGGGTCCCCCTGTAGCGACCAACGTTGGTCGCTAATCTCAGTATACCTTTGACCAAGCAAGTCTGACCAGTCCGGTCAATATTTTGACGAAATTAGCGACCAAGTAGCGACCAAAGTATCAAATAATTATTTTATTATTTCGCCAATTTAGCGACCAACTTTGGTCGCTTTTCTTGACAGACCAACTTTGGTCGCTAAGTTTGGTTGCTTTTTTCCGGAATTCTAGTAGTGAGATGAACCCCGAGGACCAGGAGAAGACCTCGTCTATCACTAAGTTTGGAACATACTATTATAATGTAATGCCCTTCGGGCTAAAAAATATCGGAGCTACATACCAACACCTAGTTAACAAAATGTTCGAGGAACAAATAGGTAAATCAATGAAAATTTACATTGACATGCATTCGGAGTAAATCTCTTGTCTAGTAATATTTGGTAAGTGAACCGTAACAGCACTGTGCTTTTAGTTTGCATACTTGAAACATTTTGAGTGGACTGTTATCTAATGCGGCATGATGTGTTGGCATAAGGAAAGCTAGATGCAGTAGCAGATTATTCTGTCAGGAGATGCCATCTACTGTTAGAATGGTGGACCAGATTTTCCATGAAATTATTCAAGTGTTGCACTAGATGTTTCAGCTGGTTGATCCATTCATGTCTTGGAACAATTTGTGCGATCCTATTTGTTGAGAAAGCAAAATGTTGAGTGATGGTGCCTAAAGTACATTGGACGCGTCCTTCTAAGACTCTATTCAAGATCAACACAGATGGGAGCTCAAACAGGAACCTGGTACTTACTACGTGGAGGAGATGGTATTATTAGATCATATACTGGAAAATAGGAGCTTTTGCATCACCTTTCAATGAAGGAACTAACAATAGTGCTGAATCTAAAGCTAATTGGATTCATGCCCCGCCATTTGGAATCTTATCTCAGTAATTGAAAGCATTAAGGTAAGCTGAAGGTTTTGGAATATGTGCAGCTTCAACATTGCTTCAGAGAAGCTAATTTCACACCGAGTAATGAAGGATTGAAGTTTTGCAGGACAGATGCGGTATGATGAATTTGAGCAGCTTCCTAGCAAAACAAAGGCACAATGATCTTCCTGCAGCCACGCGTAAGAAAGATGTAATTAAACTAATTATACATACAATCGTATATCCACACACCACAGATCTTTGCACCATCTCTTTTAAAAATTGTGTATGTACAATTCTAACTTAATTAGTTTTCGACGAGGTCAGGTATTATGTTCCCTCCATATATTTTGTCTCGTGCTCTTTTCCTTTTGAAATCCAGTAGCAGTTGGAGAATTAGAGTTATAAGTGGAAATGGCAGGAGAGAGAGAGAGAGAAGAAGTGCAGTGAATTCATTCTCCTTAAAAATGAGAATTTTATGGCTCCTCATAGTAGGTGGGTCAACTAAAGTTACCTACAAGTCTCCAACTTTTAATTAGTTGGATTTAGTGGAAAAGGAAAACGGCAATATTCTATATACTAGGTGATGACCCAATAAAACAACCAGTGCATTGTTACTTATAATATAGTACCTTTCTCTGTCACTGGTTAATTTGTCTGCACTTTCAAATATTGATAATCTCAAAGTTGGGGGATTAGCTTGTTGCTCGTGATTGACGAACAAAAGAAACACTGTTGATAATTAGTCTACTATAAATACTTAACAACAAAGATCGATTATCCTTAGTTTTTCAGCTTTTTTCTTTTAGTTTTGCAATGACAATGAGGAAAGTTGACTTTAGTAGTTCATATTTCTTTGTGATGACAACTCTTCTTGTTCTTATTCTTCTATTTATTTCCACTGAGGCAGCAGCAACAGGCTTGTTCATCTTCGGAGACTCCACAGTGGATGCAGGAAACAACAACTATATTGAAACCATTCCTGAGAACAGAGCCAATTATGAACCATATGCCCAGAATGGTTTTTTCCAGGAACCCACTGGTCGCTTCTCCGATGGTCGTATCATCGTTGATTTCATAGGTGAGATGACCAACCACTATTATTTCTACAATTTCAAGAAATACAGCAGGTTGAAAAGTTTCACATCCGCAAAAGAATTTAATTACTTTGATATGTGTAAGCCAAAGTGGCTTTTTTTCTTTTGTTAAATGGCATGACATCAATCCCATTTGGACTTGAGATTTGTTTTGACTGATCTTAAAGGGGTTATTAAGAAATTATGTGATCTATACATAGGGGTGGTAAAATATCCGACGCGATCCATATTTAATAAAGTGCAGTCCGGTGCACAAAGCATCTCATGTTCACGCAGGGTTCGGGGAAGGGTCGCGCCCCAAGTGGCTTGGTATGTGATGTAGGTAGCCTACCCTGATGCAAACATCAGTGACTGATTTCACAACTCGAACTTGTGACCTATGCCTCACAGAGAGAACTTGACCGTTGCTCTAAGACTCCCCTTCCCAACCTATATTTAATACGGATAAAAATGGATTAACTAGTGGATAATATGGATATCCATATTATCCATGACTTCTTGAATATGATCAGTTTTTGGGATAATTACTACTCTCTCAAACTTGAGGAACCCCCAATTTGAGTTTTTGCTAATATAAAGTTAAACCCATTGGTTATACAAGTGGATAATATGAATCTTATCCATATTTGACCCATTTTTAAGAAGTTCATTATCCAACCCATTTTTAGTAGATAATATGGATAAATAACTGTTTTTTAATCCATTGTGTCACCATTATCTATATATATATATAATTTCCTAAAAATGGATGATGGTGATGCAGCTGAATATGCAAAGTTGCCATTAATTCCTCCTTACCTGCAACCACATATTGCTGATTTCAGCAATGGAGTTAACTTTGCTTCTGGAGGAGCTGGAGTTCTTTCTACTACTCATCCTGGTTTGGTATGGGCATCAGCATTTTCATCTCCATTTATTAACAGTATACTTATTACTTCCTTACTATAGATATGGATACATATTATATTGTCTCAAATCCTTTTCTACATATGTTATATATAAGTGTAGATCTACACTGTTAATTACAAGTGATAAAATATCAGGTTATTGATCTGGAGAGACAATTAAAGTACTTTGAACAAGTGCGGAAATCACTAACAGAAAAGTTGGGAGTAGCCAAAGCAGAGGAAGTCATATCGGAAGCAGTTTACTTCATCAGTATAGGAAGTAACGATTACATGGGGGGTTACTTTGGTAACGAAACGATGCAGCAACTCCACGGTCCTGAAGAATATTTAGGGATGGTCGTTGGCAACTTGACTCAGGCAATTCAAGTAAACTACAAGCAATATCTTTTTCCTTTTCTATGCTGTTGGTTAAAATTGTACTTATGTACAGTATTTCAATGACAAGGAATTGTATGAGAAAGGCGCCAGAAAATTTGGTTTCTTAAGCTTGTCGCCATTGGGATGCTTACCAGCTCTCAGAGCTCTAAATCCAAGAGCTAATAACGATAATGAAGAAGCGGGAGGAGGTTGTTTTGACGCTGCTTCTGATCTTGCATTGGCTCATAACAATGCTCTCTCAATGGTCCTCACAAGCCTTCAACATATACTGCAAGGCTTTAAGTATTGCAACTCCAACTTCTACGATTGGCTTCTCGATAGAGTTAACAATCCCACAAAGTATGGTATGTATCATCTTTCTACCATTTCGCCTACTAGCTAGCTCATGGATGGCATTCTACTAATTAACTTTTGAGTTAACTAATAATTTGACATTACCTTCAGAAAACAGGGGTAAGGTCTGCATATACACTGCCCTCGTCAAATCCTACTTGTTGGATTACACTGAGTTTATTGTTGTTAATAATTCGCCATTATTGTTGCGTTATTAGGTTTTAAGGAAGGAGTGAAGGCTTGCTGTGGAACAGGACCTTATGGAGGTGAAAATACATGTGGTGGGACGAAAGAATATGAGATTTGCGATAATGCCAAAGACTACGTATGGTTTGATTCATTTCACCCGACAGAAGGCATACATGAACAATTTGCAAAAGCACTCTGGGATGGACCATCCTCCTCTGTTGGACCTTATACTCTTCAAGACCTATTTTTTGGTAAAGAGAAACAAACTATAGCTGATATTGTCGATATATAATCCAGAGAACCAGCAGCTGCAGAAATTTCCTAGTGTTAGAAGGAAAGATGTGTTAGCAATAAAGCCTTTTTATTTCTAAGTCCAGACTTATTTGTCCAAAAGTTCAGCTAAGTAAATTTCAAGTCCAGACTTATAATACCTTTCTAAAATTCTCCTTTTCTTTTTAAGAAAATGAATTTTAGTTGTCTTTGATTCTTATTTTGTTGACCTTTCGCATTGCAATAACCGAAGGCTAGCCCTTTCTCTCTATTCATTTGCATTGATCATTCTAGATTTAACTTGGTACGTTATGTTCTGATTCTAATGCTAGATTTTCTTTTTTTTTAGTGGATACCAAGATAAAGTTATATATGTTATCAATTGTGCAACTGTTAAAATCCAAAATTTTATCCAATTGAAGCATCAACTTTTGTATTAGTGGCACCACCAATATGAACACGAATAATTTGATTGTTTTGTGTTTCTCATTCTCGTGGAAGCAAACTCAAAGATGTAATTGTACAACTACGTTTTGCAAATGAATATGTTAATATTTAGTCAGCTTGGTGAAATTACCTTTTTTCTCAGTCCTACTAAACATGTAAACAAATATGAAATTATCTTTTTCGTGTCGGACCTCTTTTGTAAGCTATGTTTGGCATGTGCACGGGCGCGGGCAATTTAGTAAAAGAGATACATTGCTTAAATAACCTAAGGGAAAAGTAGCTCTTAACCAGAATCTAAGAAAAAAATGTTAGTTGTTCATATTTTAAATATTGTCGAAAATGATAATGTATAAGGAAAATGCTCGAAATATTTCATACACATACCCAATTGTTTTCTACATTTTGTGAGATCAGAATGTAATATCATTATATTTCTTTCTTTAAATCTTATGTGATTCGGCCTAAGGCATGCCTACCAACTTCCTAAACCAAGAAAATCTAATCCAACTTCCACAACTCAAAGGCAAAGGGAGAAAAAAAAAGAAGACAGTAGAATAGTATTTTAAGGCTTCTGCCTATAATCACCTCAACACTTCACCACATCATTATAGGACCAGATAAAGAAGCACAAGAACAACAAAATAAACCCAAAAAGCAGAAGAAAAAGAACAAAATTTAAAACAAATAGGAAAAACATCTGCCCTATCATTCCTGAGAAGCTTTCACAGCATCCGCCATCAAATTCACTTGTTCGTCCATCAATGTTATCTCATTTAGCTGTTGTTCAGCCCTAGCAATCTTCATGGAGTGTGACTTTATCAGCATTTCATGTCTCTGCTCCTTGCTAACCAACTCAGGGTTTTGCCTGAACCAATCTTCTAGGTCAGCTGCACTTCCTCCGTATAAAACCAAACTTGAATATTGTTTTGAACTACAAGCAGATAAATTGTGAGGCCTCGAAAAGGCGCTTCTTTTAACAACATTATTCTTATATTTGTTTTTAAGTCTATTAACTTTGTCTTGCAATTGATTTTTGCTGGCCTTTTTCTGCATAAGTTTATTTTTGAATAAGTTTAGAGAAGCCATTTTTCAGAGGAGAAAGGAAGCAATCTTTGTGTACTGTGTTGATCTTCAATTGGAATGTTGTTTTCATTTTCAAGTTGAACACTATTTAAATTAGGGGTGGCAAATGGGTAGGTTGGGCTGAATTTGGGCGGGTTAAAATGGGTTAGGTCAATAAATGAGTTATTGCCCAACCCAGTCCAAAGTGTACTTGGGTTAAGATGTGCTGGGTCAAAATGGGCTAAACAATGGGTCATAACTCAACCCGCCCAACTTGACCAATGTTTTAGAACCATGCTCATCTTGCATAAAAAAAAAAGTCTTTTACCTTAAAATGTGTAAGTCGAAAAAAAATTTGGATCAGAGTGGGCTATAAAATATAATGGGTTAACATGGACTCAGCCCAAATTAACCCATGAGCTAAAATATTTGTAACCCAACCCATTAATCTCTGGGCGGGTTAGATGAGTTTGGGCTCAAATTATCACCCCTAATTTAAATACTAAAGTATTTGGTGATCTGATCGAATCGGCAGTGAAAATCTTCGGATATGGTTAATGCTTTTAAATCTTTTGAGCTTCCTAAGGGATGTGCATGTATTTCATCTAACTTGTGAAGTTTATTCTCATTTAACAATTGACTTTTCAATAAATTATAATCCCTAGATTATAAGGATTTTATAAGTTAGTTACTGGAAAAATTAATTACCAGTTCTCAAAATCTTAATTTGGTTTCCATAGGTCTTCACCATTTTTTCAAGGTTACTTCGTCAAAGTCTAACACGTCTTTCAAATTATTATTTCCTCCGGTTCACAATAAGTGATCAATTTACTGTGGCACACCCATTAAGAAAATATTAAATTTTAGACAAAAAATAGTTAGTGTGACTAAATTGTCCTTAATTAAATGTTGCAGCATAATTTAATGTGAGGAGTAAAAGACTTTTTAGGAATACGTACATAAGGGTAATTTTGAAAAAATAAATTGAAATTTTTTTGATTATATAAATAGACACTTATTTTGGACCAAAATAAAAAAGCAAATTGGTAACTTATTGTGGACCGGAAAGAGTATATCAGTCTGGAAAGGTAGTGGAGGATCGGGCTTCACACATGTTCATTTCTTTTGGAACGTGTATGTTTTTTCTTATCTAATTTTCTAGCTTGTACTAGATATAGAGAAAAATCTTGAATTTTAAGAATATATTCTTCCAACATTGAATACTACATAAACGTTAATTTTAATTCAAATTTCGGTAATTGGGCAGGCCAGTGAAGAGAAGTGCAATAGTTTTTCTTGTCCAATGTGAAATTAATTCAAAAACTTTAAATGGTGGTCTCCTTAAATTCACCACACAAAAGAATGTATACACACATTTTTGAATAAATCTCCAATGATAATAAGAAATTAGGACAGTCATGCCATCTTCAACTATACATATAGTTTGACCAACAGGATGTTGACCTATAGTATTATAGCAAACTAGCAATCGTACTTGCGTGATGCGCGATCAATAATTAAATTAAATTGTGATATGCTTGAACATATTAAATCATACTGTTTTGATAAATTTCAATTATCATCTTATTTGTCAATACGATATTCCCAATAATAAAATCTCTATTAAATTAAAGTAACTTATTTTCATTCTTTTTAAATAACCGTTAATAACCTTTTTCAAAACAACAATATATTGGTTACTGGCTTTTTGAAAACCACTCTCGTAGGAGGTGCATGAAAACTTACTGAGAAATTTTGGGAGATAAAATACTTTTGTAACATCCAAGGATTAGCAACAAGCAGTTTAGGAAAGACATGTATTTCTTTTTTTTATAATGGTTGTATCCGGACCATTATTGTGCACACATCCACTATTCCACCAGATACACACTTGCCTCTCCTCAATATTGTATTGGTGTTTACCCGTAAAATAGTACAATTAAATTTATAACGTGATTTATAGTTAAGCGAATCGATTTGATCTCAAAACGATAAATAAATAAATAAAATAAAATACAAATTTTAGCGTTAAAATCGAGATAAGACAACAAATAACTTGGTTCCAAGAGCGACGCTTCCGAAGACAACAATAGGAATATCAATAAATAGAAAATAGAGTATTATTGAGTTTAGAATAATGTGTAGCATAAGTTTGTCAAATATTTCCCTCTTTGCAATGGTTGTTGAAGTCATTATTTATAGCTACACCTAGGGAACAAGGTCCTAAGATCAACCCTCATCATAAATGACAATTATGGGGGTCATTGATGAATGTGTAACGGCAGGCAATTCTTTATAACGGATTATGTATTTAATACTGAAGAATATTCTTCAATGAATGTCATCGGGTGGCAAACATTCGTTTGTCTTCGTTAGCAATATTCCCTTCGGGGTTTGTCCGGTGCCAACTGAAGTTGTTGTCCCCGATCTTAGTTTTCACTTGCTTCGCTTTCTGTTTGTCTCCGGTTCCACGTGTTGATCCATTAATCGAGTATTTACTACGAACCGATTTTACCCTATACAGATAGTCCCCCTCCTTTTCGGTGGCATATCTCTGTATCATTGAAAAGTTGGTGAAGATACCTTTCTTGGCGGGAAATTTATTGATCCCTTCTGAAAAATTTCTAATGCTTGATTAGACGCATGTCTCTCCGCATTTAATGCCCCGAACACGCCTCACTCTATGATTTAGCAATTATTTCGCCAGTTCATGAGGTAATCATGGTGTCACGACCCCAACCCCGGTCATAATGGCGCCCAACACACTGCTAGGCAAGCCCGACCATTCAACAACATTATCCCAAATTCTTATTCAGATTATAGATAAATATCACAGAGAATTTACTAAGTCATTACATTCAAGTGTATAATTAATAATAAAATCTGCAGAAGTTCAATTAAAATACCACACCATAGCCCAATAGAATCCGGTGTCACGAATATGAGCCTCTAATACAGAATATCTACCTATTATAAGTCTGTCTAGAAAAAATGCGGAATAAAAGATAGAGATAGAGGGGAGAGATCAAGGTTGCGAATGCCATGCAGCTACCTCAATACTCCCGGATACTGTTGTTCAGCTAAACAAATCCTCACTCAGCCTGTGGTGTACCTAGATCTGCACGCAAGGTGCAGGGAGTAATGTAAGTACTCCGACCCAGTGAGTAATAAACATAAATAAAGGCGGAGAATAAGAAATCATGGAAAAATACAAAGTAAACTATAACTGCAGTTTAGAACAACAAATAGTGAAGCAACAAGTCAATTAAATCAGGGTACGAAATACTGAGACAGGTATAACCGATAAAAACAAATGCATGAGTGTAATGCAGTGCATATGATGGTACACTCTAGTACCCACTGTGGCGTGCAGCCCGAGCCATCCATTTATTTATCGTCGACGGCGCTCACTAGGGGTGTGTACAGACTTCGGAGGGGCTCCTACAGCCCAAGAGCAATATCAAGCCATCTTGTGGCATCAAATCTAGGCCCTCGGCCTCATATCAATATCAGTATAATCAACCAGGCTCTTGGCCTCAATATCAATGTACTCAACCAGTCTCTCGGCCTTAATATCAATGTAATACTGTTGTGGCGCGCAACCCTATCCATGCTCAGTCCAGAAACCATCATAAGCCCCTTGGGCATTTGTAAAATAGTAGTTCTCAG